TTTTTTAAGATAATAAAAAAACTATCCTCCAACCACGCAACACACACACAGACACCTGCACTCCCAATCTTAAATCCCTGTGTACAAACTGATTTCGGACTATGTAATTCAATAAAGTGAGCGTGACTATTTTCTTTTTCAATGACAGAAAGATGGGATGATTTTAACTGTAAAATTATGAAACGTTATTGCAGATAAAATGATAGATGTGGTTATGCAATAGTGGAAAGGCTTTATAATGGGAAATGATAGCTCACTATTGTGAACGAGCTATGAAGACCCACCACTTTCCAGAGGGGAAATCCAGTCCAGCCACCTGCAGGGGTTCTGCGGTTGTCCCAGTACGGTGATGACAATGAGCATAAAGGTGAAGTGAGGTCGTAGAGTGCCACTGGGGTTTTCATATACCACCTACAGAAATTTTGCAATATCAATATCCTCTTGCTGTTTACTTATTACTTTTCTTTAAGTTAACTCATCTTTTTCACTTAAAGGTGAATTTAACTTCATCCTAAGCAAAGTTATTCATGAAATTAGGAGTTATTGGGAGACATAGATGAGTTATGCTTTAAAAAAAATTCAATCAAAAAATAACCTAAAGACAGCAGTTTACCTGTGGTCTCTTGGTGACATGTACACAATAGTTTGGAAAACATTGGTTTAAAGCCAAGATCAGTGAGTAATGGCTGACTGCCTATTTATGTAAATAAAGTTTTATTGGACCACAGCAAGGTTAACTCATTTTTGCACCGTCTGCGACTGTTCTTGCACTGCACTGCATACCTGTGTAGTTACCAAAGAGGCGACATGGTCAAAATGTTTCTGATTCTTTGCAGAAAATTTGCCAACCCCTCTCTTGGAAATGTAGGATCTTCTTAATTGAATGTTGTCCATTCTCAGAGATTCACCCTCTGGTTCCCATTTATGATCCAAGCTCCTGCTTCTTTGAAAGTGAGTTTCATGAGAAGAAATTGTTCCACTTTCCGTGAAGACAAGACAGAAAATTCACTTAAGCATTGGCTGTACCCAGAGTGTCTGATGAAGGTCTATTGATAGATCTCCACCAAATGTCTAATGGCTTTGGGGAAATGCATTTCAATTTGCTGCAGGAACTGGCTGTCTTAATATTCCCACCCCACTCCCCCAGCCAGCTGGTCTGGACACCCCTGTACTTTGTTTCCTTCCTGATTAAAAAATGCCAGTGACATCGATGGGATTTTGAGTTTGAAAACCAGACAGAATAAGAATTCAACAGTGACACGCCTGTTACCTGCAGCTTTAGTACCTATATTCCTGGCAAGGATGTGCAGCTTCTTTTTGAGATAAAGCAGAAAATTGTTAAGCAGGAAAGTAATTTTCATCAGTTAAAGGAATGCAAAAAAACCCTGTGAAGCTGTGTCACCTTACATTGCACAGGCTGGCATTTTTTCTCAGTTGTTTCTTGTGAAAGAGATGAAAAGTTTTTCTATAAAAGCAGGTGTGAATTGCTAATCTTGAGAACCAAATAGAAATGGCCTGTGGATGTGTATTCTCTATTGCTTGCTTTAGAAGTATAGTTTTGTTATTTTTATCACTGTATTTGTCATCATTAAAAAATAGGATTAAAATACATAATATGTATCTAATGAAATGTTGCAATTAAGCACTTTTACTGTAGTCCTGTTTCTTTACAGTGCTTGTGGAGTCATTAACTAAATTATGAAAATGTGTTCACGTATTATATAGAAGATTATGATCAATTGTGATGGGGGGCTGGGGAAGGATTGAAACAATTTTCATAGAGGACAATTTATTTAAGTCTAGTGGGGGAAGCAGGAGTTTTCTGGATGGAAAATCAGGTGGAAGGCATTTCAGATAGAAAGACCAGTGTTCTTTTGACTGGAATCAGTGGCATAGGACTTAGTATCTTTACAACTGCATCTCTACTGTCCAGAGCAAGTTTCTATCTTGACAGGCCTTCAAGAACAAGTTGCTTTCTGGGTACGCTTAGTAGATAATTTGTGAATGGGCCACTCATACTCAGGGAAAATGTAGAGTCCTCGGTCCTCAGGTAATCCCCTAATTCTGGATGCTTTGGCTTGGCTCACCAAAACACACCATCTGGCTGGATGTTGTAATGCAGACTCCAGTTTCACCATTGCTGAAAGATTTCATAGAAAACCCTCAAGCAATGACTAAAGATCCTCCGGAAACATCAGCCCTCCCACTTTGACTTCTTTGTGGTCTGGGCTCTCTCAGTCAATTCCCCAGAAAACCTGCCATGGGAATGGGATCAACCAACCGATGTTGACTCTGCTCTTCCGTATTGGTGAGTGCTGCAGAAAACCAGGATTCAGCGTCCCCTCCGTCTTAGCATTTATCTGTATCTCAGAAAGAGCATTTGTCCCATGGGGGAATAGCAAGCACAGCAGTTTCTGTTCCAGGGACTCTGTACCTAAAACCTGAGAGACTGTTATCATAAAGCCCTCTGCTGATATGGGATAGAGGAGGAATTTCTGATTCATTGAATTTGACGATTTGGTGGAACAGTGCAGAAGGTTTATCTCATAGCAGCTCTGAACTGTGAGTCCAGATCAGGTCTGCTGCAAACCCAGGTATAGCAGGGAGAATCGGGTCAAAGCAGGAGTATAACTTTCAGGATCATTGGTATATGGTTAGAGTATTAGAGATTGGTCCTATTAGCAGGAGGGTTATAGAGTTAAAATGGAATCACATTCCTAAGCCAGAGGTTATAAGGAGGTGGATAAGGCTCCTATAGGAAGTCAGGGGGTAGGGTTAACTATAGGTTTGGTGGGTCATTAGGTATTTCATATTTTATGTGCTAGGACATACTATACATACACGGAATATCAATTAGTATTTTCTAGACAATATGTGTAAATAGAAGGTAGATGACCCGGGGCTAAATCTTTGGGTACTATGTAAGTCTGGGTAGACTAAAGAAACAAATCCATGGACAGACCTATGTGTATAAGAAAGAGATTTATATACAAGAGCAATTGAGCATTGAGAAAACATCCCAGCCCAGTCCAGATCAGGTCCATAAGTCTAATATTAGCCCATATGTCTGCCAATCTGTAAAATCCTCTTCAGACTCACAAAACACATGCAATGAAGCCAAATGCAGGACGATCACAAGCTAGTGGGTAGAAAGTCTTTAGATCCAGTGGCGTTGGAAACATCTCAACACTGGCAAGAGTCTCTCTGTGGCTTCTCCGGCTTCCGAGGTCTGGTTGCATCCATGTGACTTGTCTTCTGCAGTGTCTCCCAGGAAGTGGCAGAGAGAGAGAAGTGTCTTCCACCTCCAAGGAGGAAGTACCAGATTTCCCAGAATTCTCAGGAGAAGGCCATGCCCACACAGAAGTCTCATTGGCTATCTCCAGATTGACAGCCTAGACTCCACCCTACACTCTTAATCTTTAAATTGACACTAGATTAGGTGACTACCACAGGTACCTTAGAACTAAGAGCTCAGAGAAAGAGGAGAAACCAGCAAAGGAGAAAAAGGAAGAGCAGTTAGAGAGATATGAGAATAATCAGAAGAATTTGGTCTCCTGGAGCCCTTGTGACAAAAGTATGCTACCCGGGGAAGCAGAGAGGAAATCATATACTAATGAATATATTACATAATATGATAGAATGTGAAGAGCTCTCTGGAAAAGTTCACAGGAGAATCAGAGGAGGGGATGATGAACAATGTTAAGTGCTTATGACAGGTCACAGAACACCAACAGCTCCGTGAGAGAGAGATGAGGCGGTCTGCTCATAAAAATGTACAGCCTCTGAAACTCTACCGAGCCCTTGTTCTCTGTCCTATAGGATGGATCTAAGTTGGAATCAACTCAATAGTAGTGGGGTTTTGGTTTTCCTCTTTGGAAGGGGGGTGCAGCTAGAACTCTGAGACACAAAACCAGGTTGAAGTGCATTTGAATGAGAAGTGAAGAATTGTAGACTGTATATGAATAGCACTTCCAAAGGACATCATTTGAAAGAGCAAGAAGGCAATGGAATGGAAGGTAGAGGGAAAGAGAGAATTTATAGGGAAGCTTTTGAGACGTGAAATAACACGTTTGTAAGCTCATGTGGACGATTCAATAGTGTGAAAAGTTCATTTCAACTAGAGAAGGGGAACTTGCTAGAAAAATAACCTTTAGTAGTCCAAAGTAGGAGGTGGAAAGAGGCCAAAGTGCCTTCAGATGGACAAACACTTAATTCACGTGTTCACAAGTGGGAAGATGGGTTGTGGTCTTGAAGGTGGTCATCGTTGTTGCTGGTACGTGCCATCCAGCCACTTCAGACCTCATGTGCAACAGAGCACATCACTCTTTCACCCTGTGCCACCCTCACCATCTTTGCTGTGAGGGAGACCGTTATTGTAGCCACTTGTCATTGACAGTCTTCCTCACCAAGCGTGCAGATGGTAGGTGGGTAGATGTGGTGGCAGAATTGGTCAAGCGTCTATTGTTTTAGATTTCTGTTTGAAGAAACGGGTGGCCAGCCATGGGTGGGCAGTCAATACCAACTGAGTTTCATCCGGAGAGACAGAAATCCAAAATCCAGCAGTGGAACGGAATTTGACCCACTCCCACGTGCAGGTTTAAAATTTTCATTACTCAAGGAGGCTGTTCTCACAAATAAATTAACAGGATATTTTAATGTTGGCTATTGCTCCAACATGGATTAAAAACATTTCATCATAATGTAGTGTGTTCAGAGTATACCCAAGCCAAGGCAGCTCATTTGAGATGGCTAGTTATCATTCATTGTTCAGTATTTCTTCTTCAAGAGCTAACAGATCCTCAGCATTGAGTACGTGACTGGAGTACCTCATATGACTACGCATTTCTCGTATTCTTAGGGGCTTAAGATAAAGCTATGTGGACTATAGAAATTACTGTAATTACAAGTAGAGAACTGGAAGCTGCAGAGGAAATGGATATGTATTGCATTCTAAATGAATGAATCATGTTACTGAAATTTCATCGGACTTTTCCTTCCAGGAGCAGTGTTCCAAGTTCATTGAGATGGGGAACTTGGAAAACTACAGAGCACTTGACTTTACTGGACGCTTCATAAAGATGCTGGTGTATTGGTGGAACAGGCCTTGCCCACTTGGCAGACATTGCATGGATAACACCCGTGGTCTCAACAAGGTCAGAATCCATGCAGGAGAAAGTAGAGTAAACAGCAGTTGTTATAATGAGTGCAGTGGACTGGATGTAATGCTATTGGCAATAGTAGTAGTGATAATCACGGTTATTATAATATGAATCATAACAATGACAACAATAATAGTAATATCATCTAACTTTTCCAGAATGCTATCTGTGTGCTAGGGTGACAGTGGAAGTTTCCTACTCCCGTAACCAGTTACCGTCTCAGAAACTCAGGGCGGTTCTACCCTGTCCTACAAGGTTGTTGTGAGGTGACGTCGGCTCAAGGGCAGGGATTGAGTCAATATGTGGCATAAGTTCTAGAAAAACACTCCCTTTGATATTCATAACCATCCAGAAATGTAGGCATTATTATTCTTGAAATTTAGATGTTGAAACTGCATTTAAGGCAAATTCAGGAACTTGATCAAGATCACACAGTTATTAAGAGTAGCATTGGGATCTGAACCAAAATAGGTCTGATCTAAAGGTCTATTTTCTCTCTGCTGCATACTACTTACTTTCCAGGAAACTTTTAGTGGCCACTGAAGACCCGCAGACCCCCTCCTTGGGAAAGGTTTGAAGGTCTGGGATACCAGAGATCCTCAAGGCTGAATCGATTTCAATAGTTGCCAAGTTCTTGATGGTTCTCCCTCTTACTGGGATGACCTGGAAAGCGGAAGTTCTTTAAAATGTCGAAAGTTAGTAAATATTTAGTACTAGGAAGAAGGGATCCTTTTCTTTGGCATTTCAACTTCTCTGTACCTTGCTGCCCTGGACCCTAAAGACACATCCCTCGACATCTGTGCTTGAATGGAATGAGAGGCATTGACATGTCTAATTTCACTGCTGGTGCATCTCAAACGATTCCTCTGCTTCTTTGCAAATGATTGTTCAGGAAAAGGGATGTTAAATTTGGGTTTATGAATAAGCCAACCTTATTTTCTATTCACTTTGCTTCAAGAACTTCTTAAAGATTTGTTTCCATCATAATTACCTCTTTCTCAGTCAGCTTTAAAAGTATTCATTTTCATCAAAGTTTATATGCACATGATTGAAGAAGTCAAATAGTGCTAAAAGGTTTGATGTGGAAATCAGCAGAACCCACCCACTTCTATTTCTCCCTCCTAAGATACCACCATTTTTAACCTTTTTTAATTGGATCCTTTTGGCATTTTCCATTATATCTCTGAAGAACATGTTTCAATCAGTCTGTATGCACTGCTTTTTCAAATTTGGAAGATCAAATCTCTTTCAATCACCATGCTTCCACTTTCCTGTCATAATATATCATAATCTATCAATAGGAAGCATTTCTAGTAAAACAGTATTTACAACTGAGTCATGTAGCATGCTAGTCTCACCTTCCCCACACCCAGTATCTCTCCCTTCCTACCCCCACCCAGTATTAATAATTGTCCCTTATTTGCTTCTTGCTTGCTAAATTTCAGTACCTACATCCACCTTGGATTATCTCTATTGTCTTTGGCAAGAGCCAAATCAGAATTGACTCAAGGGAAGCAAGTTTGTTTAGGTTTTGGTATTGTCTTTTGCATCCTGC